TAACCATTACAAAGAGTAATGCCCCATGCAAAACACTTTTGACTGAGCTTTGTTTGCTCGTAATAAATCATAGTTTGATTTCTCACATTTAAGGTTCATTTTCTTCTGTGCCCTGCCAGAATGAATGACGTGCCATTTTTTTTTCCTCAAAAGGAGTAATTTCCCTCATGTTCAAAGAATTTGTAAAATTAAAAACAGTCTCAAATGTTTATTGCTATGGTTAGTTGGTGTCTTTTGGCAGCAGGACAGTAGAATAACAAGACTGCTTGATGCTGAGGGGAGTTCAGTAGATGAGGAACAGAAGGCTGAGAGTGGCACAACCCTGAGAAAATGTGAGGAATTTAGGACTTGTTCCTGCTCCCTGTGAAGGCAATGGCAAAAATCCCATTGGCTTCAATGAGAGCAGTATGAAGCCATAAAAGAATTCTGAATTGCTGCCGTGCCACCCATTTTTCTCTCTAGATGCTCCAGCACAGAAGCAGGGCTATTAAATACATTTCATTCTTGCGATGCTTGGTAAGAATAATGGTACCGCAAAGGAAAAGTTTATTTTGTTGAATAATCTCTCCCCCGACAAATGATTTACTATAATTTCATTAACGACTCCAGTCCAGTGCATTTCCTGGAGAGTTAATGGCAGGCTCAGTGCTAATGACCCTCTGCTTTGCCTCAGGCCATTAGCTCTCTCAGCTGGTCATTATTCTCCAGGAAGTGACCTGGGCCTCGACCACAATTACTTAGTTAATTTGAATTCATTGCGCATTAGAGCTTTGGTGGTTGTTTCTTTTCACACTATCCCTATAGTGTTTGACTCCCCCCACTCTCATTCTGTTTTTGGTAAGGACAAAGTTGGAACCCTTCCTAAACTGTATCAGCATTGGAGGAATATTGAATAGTTAAGTAAATGCATGAAAGCAAGAAACTCTGAACAGATTTCTTAAAGAAGAAGCAACTCATCAGCAACATTGTCCAGCTGGCATATAAATATAAGTACATTTGACTACTAATATTTCCTTTAAAATTTACACTCCTGGCTACCTAGTTATAAGACCATGAGCCTGACCCTGTACCATGCTGAGCAACCTGAACTCCTGCTTTACAGGAGTTGAGGGCCTGTAGCATCTTACAAGAGAGGCTCAGCACCTTGTAGGAGTGGGATCTAAATCTAGATCTCCTGCATTCTGTGTGGTTTGCTTTTTACGTAATAATCTGTGTCTGTTTGGGCCCAGATGCCATAATTGTCCACTGAGCTGCACACACGGGCCAGAGAGGGCAGAACTCATGTTTGTCGGCTCCCGAAACAACCTTTGTCGTTATCTCTGTTAGCTTCAGTTGTAGGAAGGCTTAAATGGCCTCTTTTTAGAGTATATGTTGGAAGGTGAGTTGCTCACAAACATTTGGGGAGTTTCCATCTAGCAAAGGGCAATTGTAGTATGTGGGCATGTCAGTCAGTACTTCGTAGCTATAGCTACGTGTAAGCAAGTGAAACCCATGCTTACACCTGGTTGCTCTCTGTCTCACTTTAATGGCTGGACTACGTAGAGGTTTATAAATCCGATAGTGGCTTTGAGCTAACATGAATGGCTCTTTTAGCACAGACAACAGAAGCTCATGGTTTTAGATCTGTGGGTTCCAGGTTTAATCCTTGCTGCAGACAGGGATGTGACATTATATTCAGGTGATGTCTGAAACTTGGGCATGGTTCACTGAGGTTTGCTAACCATTTGGCAAAACTAAGCCATCTTTGGATGGTGACTGGGCCAATTTGTAGTGTTGCCAAAGTGGTTTAAAAAAAAAAAGGAAGTGAAAACTTAATTGAAATAAGATCGTAGAAATGACTTCAGAGGGGGTCAGCACTACTTTAACTGTACTATAAACCCCATATCATTAGTTACTGGATAGGGAATTTAAATATTAATTGCTACATTGTCAAACTAATTTTACTGGGTTTGATTCTTCCCTCACACAAGCTTCCCCCCACCCTTGTTCTTCTAACACATTAGGGCAGAGGTGGGCAAACTACGGCCCGCGGGACCCTCCTGCCCGGCCCCTGAGCTCTTGGCCCGGGAGGCTAGCCCCTGGCCCCTCTCCTGCTGCTCCCCCTACCCCACAGCCTCAGCTCATTGCACCACCAGCGCAATGTTCTGGGCAACAGGGCTGAAGAGCTCGGCCTGACCCGGTGCTCTGAGCTGTGTAGTGGCGTGGCGGGCTCCAGCCAGGCAGCGCGGCTGCAGCACCGCCAGCCACCAGTGCTCCAGGCAGTGCGGTAGGGGGTCAGGGAGAAGGAGGGGTTGGATAGAGGGCAGGGGAGTTCGGGGTGGTGGTCAGAGGGCGGGGGTGTGGATAGGGGTCGGGGCGGTCAGAGGGTGGGGAACAGGGGGGTTGAATGGGGACAGGGGGTGCCGGTGGGAAGTCAGGAAGGGAGGGTGGGATGGGGCAGCGGGGGGCAGTCAGGGGCAGGGGTTCCGGGGGCAGTCAAGGGACAGGGAGAAGGGGTGGTTGGATAGGGTGGGATCCCAGGGGAGCAGTCAGGAATGAGAGGAGGGGTTAGATGGGACAGTGGGGGGCAGTCAGAGGTGGGGTTTCCAGGGACAGGGAGTGTGGGGGGGTGGATGGGGCAGGGGTCCGGGGGGGCTGTCAGGGAACAGGAGGGAGTTGGATGGGGCAGGAGTCCGGGGGGGGCCCGTCAGGGGGCGAGAAGTGGGGGGGGGGGGAGCGGGAGCTGGCCCATGCCTGGCTGCTTGAGGAGGTACAGCTTCCCCTAACCGGCCCTCCATACAATTTCCGAAACCCAATGCAGCCCTCAGGCCAAAAAGTTTGCCCGTCCCTGCATTAGGGCCTTCTTCATTTGTGGTAAATGAGACTGGATGGTCTTTGTCAGCCTGGAGAATCCCAGCCAATTCCAACAGTTAGTTGAGGGGGTTGACTTGGAGTATCAATAAAAGTGACCTCCACATATATATTCCTATAATCGCATTTCAATCAATTTGAGGATAAGGTTAACTAAAGATTTTTGGGCCCAAAGAAGTTTCACAAGAAACTTGGTTAATTTCATTACTATGGTACCATATAGCCAAGCGACCCGTGATCTGGGTCTTCCCATGGCTCAGTGTTCATGTCACACTCCCCGTCAGTACCCAGGCTGGGCCAGGGAAGCTAATGATCCAACCAGCAGACCAAATTCGGTGATGAGTCCTAGTCATGTGCCACCTGAGGGGTGTTTCACCTATGCTAAGGAAGAAGCGCTTACACAGTAATAACTTTTTTCCATATTCTTACATTTGAATAATACTTTTACTAAAAAAAAAAATTCCAAAACCAAACAGAAAAACAACCCGCCCTTTTTGAACTTGCCTCCTTCAATCTATTCCTTGTCTGGTATTAATCCCCTTTGGGGATTCAGTCTGTGTGACCAGAACATGCAAGTTACAACAAAGGAAACTTTGAGCATCTATTTTCACTGCATAAGTCATTCACTGCAAGAAACTGCCCCAGTGTACTTTGCAGCCCCCGCCTTGACAAACAGTCAACATGTAAATGAGTTCCGACATCTGGTGGAAAGTCCAAATTACTGTTAGAAGGTTTCAGAGGGGCCCAAGTGCCCAACACATATGGTCATATTTATTTCTGTGGGGATGCTGGACTCAATTAAGCAAAACACATGACATTCAGAGAATGTCTAGGCAATTATATTATGCCTGGAGTCATTTTATGAGGTGTGAGGCTGAGTGACTTTAGCTACCTTACAGAAGCATACAGTGCCTAGGACAATGGAGCTCAGAACTCAGGGCTTCTAGGCACTATTGCAAGCCAAATAAATAGTAATTGTGATACAAAGCTGTTGAATAGGATTTTTTTTAATGAATAAATGAAAGAAAAGTTATTTTGAGTTGGACCCTTAAATGAAAAATTTCAGTTCAATTCAAATGTTTATAAATGATTAATTTATAACCTTTTCTGACAGAGGGCGTTGTGAGAAGGGACAAAACTGATGGCCTGTTTTAAGAAGGTGTTGTTTTGACATAGAGTCAAACGTTATTAGTTTTGGAAATATATCACAAAGTCCCGCCACCATTTAGTTACAATCATCTTTATGATATCGGAATGTCTTAAAACTTGAATTAAACTTCACAACGCTCCGGAGAGGTGGGGAAGTATTGTATTGTATTGTATGTTTTCCTTATTTTACAGAGGAAGAAGCTGAGATACAGAAAGACTACAGACCAGATTTTCAAAATAACTTAATCAAGTTTGAGTGCTCAGCTTTAGACACCTATGTCCGGATTGATTTCAGTGGCAGCTGCCAACACTCAGTGCCTCTGAAAATATGCTTTGTTTTCTAATCTGGGGATCCAAAAAATTAAGACCTCCAAAATTACATTCCCTTTTGAAAATTTGATTGGCACATGATCATGCTTGTCTTTGGCAGAAATGTAAATCAAACCCCTTTCTCTGGGCTCCCAGTACTTTGCCTGAACCACATGACTATCCTTCCTCCCCATTAGCAGCTAGCATCATTTTGCAGGCAGGAAAAGTAAGTTATGTTAAAAGCCAAGGGGAATTAATTAATGTACACAGGCAGAGAGACTACACAAAGAAGCAGGAAATTCCACCAGATTCTCCCTTTCTAAAATTGTGCTTTCAAGGTCCTTCTTAGTGTCGACTTTAAATAACCATTATTTGCTCTCGAGTTACTTTGGTATTATCAGCTTGCCTTAGTGACAGATTGCTGGATAGCTCTCTTTTCTTCTTTCCAAAAGGAGCACACCCTTCAAAACAGACTGTTTTCCAAGTTATTAGTTTCCTTGTTATTGTATCCATACCATTCAGTGATCCAAAAACCCTCCCACCAGGATAGGAAAGGCTAAGTTTCCCCAGCTGGAGACACAGCTTTAGACACTAGCACTCTTATTTGTTGTCCCAGCCTCAGAGGGGGCACAATGTGGCCAGCATGGGATTCTGATAAGAAAAGAGAAGAGGCAGAAAGACAAGGACTTTGAGAACAGCAGAACCGGTGACGGCAAAAGGGCTTCAGCTTGCCTCAGCTCCAAGAAGCAAAAGGTCAAGTACATGCAGTTTTTGGCTCACATTTGGATGTAGACTCTCAGCAAAGGGTCGCAGGTTCAAAGAAAAATTGGGGCTGCTTCTTTAGAAAGAGCAGAGAAGTGGAGTTGATGGGTCCCATTCACTGAACTGGATTAAAGAGGCTGAGGCTGCGGGTATATCAGGTGCCAACAGTGCCTGATGGGCTGTAGAGTAAGTCTGGCTTGCCTGGGGAATGAATTTTGCACAGTACCACTGGATCGTCATCATCATTTGATACAAGACGAGGCTGAGATCATGATTCAGGTATGTAGAATCTGTATATAAATCCGAATAATTAATATAGCCGAGGCTGGGGTTTGAGGGGAGAGAACAGGAGAGTGCCAGATTACTTTGTGTTCCCAGCACTGTTTAAAGCCACAATTGTCCTTTATTTCCAACTCAGAGATCTATAGTCTGCACATGATTTATTATTATGTGGTTCTGTACAACAAGGTTGGGTGTGTGCCGCAAATGTGTTTTAATTAAAGAAAACAAACAGAGAAGTTCTGCCAAAGTCTGAGGTGCTGAAATCTATCCCGTTCCCTGCATTATGTCTGTACAGAAAAAAAATCCATTTTAGTTTCCAGTAGTCAGGGTCCAAACTCACAAATACGAAATCTACAAGAGAAGTTCTTTAATCCACAGTAACCACAGGAAGACACATTGTGGGTTACCAAATTCTGTGGTTTAGTGAGTAAACAAAAAGGCAATTAAAAGACCCCCAGGAGTATTGCATAAAGCAACTGTACTGCTATACAAAACAATACATTAATGAAGCCATTGTATCTGTGATTGTGGTAACTTGAGCATTATGTGGGAGCATGTCATCCATTGTAATTATATGATCACCTACAAGGCAAAAGTTGCAAGCAGCAAATACGTGTATTCACTTTGGCTGTGGGCCAGTTGCCTAGTTACAGAAAACAGCTTGTCAGTTGGCTGATGTATGAACACCAGAGAATATGTGGATAACAACAATCATTTAGTTTGTTCATAACATTTAATAAAGCAAAAGGTTTGGGCATGCTTGTGCATCCTTTGATTTCTTTTCTGTGTGCTTTGTAACTATTATCGATGAATTCTTAGCATTGTAGAATAAAGCTGACATGGCTTCTAACTGAAGATGAAAGTTTCCTTCTAACTGATTTGTGGTCTGACCCACTTCAAAGCTTGAGTGTTTCATTCAGGAGTCATAATGTTAATAAATGTATATTATTCTCCTATTTACCATAATGTGCTGGCTTGAACTATACTTGTCATACTTTTACAAGGCCTGATTCATCAATGCATCATGGTTTCACCAGTGCATCTGCCAGTTTCAGTGGAGTTGCACTGGCATAAAACTGAACCCAGTGGTACATTTAGCCCACTGTCTCTTCAGCTATTCAACATTATATTTTTAAATGAAATATGCCTTTTAATTGCAATAGATTTGTGTGGAAACCATGGCAAGAATAACTGTAAATACAAATGGGTGGATCACTTTGGATTACATGACTTCACTTCAAACTTTTTTTGTGAAAAAGTTTGTTTAGCTTTTTTAAAAAAAAATCATTTTTGTGCTCCCCTTGACTTTCTGGATCTGGACAGGACTGGAAGGGAAAGCACCAATATTTCAGGGGACAGGGTTATTTCTCAGTAGTTCAGGCACAATTAGGTGCTGGAAATACCAGGAGTCTCAGTAGAAATCTTGTTCCTAGGAGAGTTTCAGCCCAACTTTGCAGATTCTAGAGGTTCAGAGAAGCATCCATATTTTTGGTTTGCTAACCACACTAACACTCTGAACCTTTGAGGATTGCAGAGCAGCAGATCTTCTCCCATTGCTTCTTCATGCCTTCTTCCATGTCACTCTAGAGGGTATGTCTACACTGCAAGTGAAAGGTGTGATAATAGCATGGGTTGGCATACCTGTGCAAGCTTTATTCTACCTAGCATGGATAACAATAGCAGTGTAGATATGGTGGATGGGCTGGTAACCAGGGGATATACCCAAGGTCCCTGGAGGTCTCTGTCTCTCCTGTTAACGCTGTACTACAGTGTATAAATAATCAAATAGTCATTGGAGCAGGGACTTGAACTTTGGCCTGTCACATCCTAGGTGAGTACCCTAACCACTAGGTGATAGTCTTTCTCATTTGCTTTCCTTACCCCAGTGACCATTCATTGTCATTATGATTTGCCCCTATGAATGATAATGAATAGTCATTGGGCCAGGGAAAGAGAGCTCTTGAGGCCAGGAAGGAATTTCCCTCCAGGTGGTATAACATTGGACAAATGACCATCATATGTAGTATGGGCTGATTCTTTCTCTCTCTCATACCATAGGAGCCTTCACCTGAAAAATCACACTTTGATGCAGTAGGAAAAAATGGGACTAGGAAAAATTGTGTTAAAAAGAAATATTTTTTACACGTAAAATTATCTTAAAGGGGCTTTGTAACACAAGGGCTAAAGTATCTCCAGCAGGTCAGGACAGAATTTAGATGCCATGCCTTGAGATGGTTTCATCATAGTATCATGACATTTAAATCTCTTGCATGACACAATTGCTGCACTTGGCCTTCAGAGAACCCAATCTACTCCACCTAGACAGGAGGCAGAGCTGAACTCTAGCATGATCCAGTCTACTTTAATCCTTGTGGTCCTGAGCATATACTAAGTGTTTATGGTTAAAAATTTACAAATCTTCTGTTTGCACCTGCTCTGTAGTGACTTATGACTATGAGAGTTTATCAGCTAAGATTTCCAAAGATTAGATCTGGACTGAGCATGCTTCATCCCCTCAACTCCTACTTGTGCCTGGACTGGTCATGTGCCATCCCCATAAAGCAACTGAGCATGCTCCATTGTGGGGCTGCAAGGGCTGAGCAAGACTCCACCACACTAAAGAATCATTTAGACTTAAACAATTTATTAAGTTGTATGATAAAATGGGCTTGATTCTCTTTTCATTTAGACCAGTATAAATCAAGAGTGACTCCACTGAACTCAGTGAAATTACATGAGAGACAGGAACATCAGGGCCAATAACTCTTAAAATATTTGTTATAAAATGAGTTTAAAGGAGGGAGTAGTCTACGTAGCTCACAAAGGCTCCAACTTATACTGCTATTATGCAATGGAAAACACACGAGTCAATGTGTTAACCTCATTAGCTTTTGTTCTATCCAAAAGACTAAAAAGAATGGGTCAAAATGCAGAAAGTAAATATTTTTAAGATTCTGTATTTGTGTATTGATTTTAATCCTTCTCTTCCAACAGGATGTTGTTCAATTAAATGACTATCTGAATTGACACTACTTCTGGCCATCCTTATAAACATTTCAGTTATGACTGTAACTAATTAACATCATCCCACTATTTGCAGTACACTTTAGGTATTTCCTGTATGACTGTACAGAAGTGCCATGACTATTGCTGTAGCAGTATCTGATGGCGAAGTCACAATTTAAAATTTTTTTTTAAAGAATGGCCCAGCATTGTACAAGACTCTACATGGTGGTTCTAAGTTAAACCTTGGCCACATTGTATGCTGGGCAAAGCCTTCTGATGTCTTTGTAGTTCAAGATGAATACCACTCATAGCAACTCAAGGGAGAAATTGTCTGATTGAAAAAAGCCTCAGAAACCTTCTAGTCTGCTCCTCACCGCTGAGCTGAAGTCAAAATTTGAGCTGCAAGGAGGTTACAAAGGTTTGTATTCAGCAGATATTGCCCTTGGCCTATGCACATGAGGTTGACAGTTATAACAACCACAGGTCCTGGTACATGCTATTACTTACCTGTAAAATGTCATTGGAAAAATTCTGACTGGTGTTCAGGACCATAATGTGTAGTGAAACAGAACCACGCTACGAACCACTTGCATTCCATTTAATTAATATGCCCCTCACTTGCATGTTCAGATTTAGGAGACTAATGGAACTATTTATTGTAACTTTTTAAAAGCAATTTCTTCTAAATCATTTTCCTTTCATTTATGCATAGCTTTATTTCCTTCTATTGCTCTTTTTTTGTCCATCTCACTTTCATTCCTTTTCTTCACAGTTCAAACAATATCAATATTAGCCATATACATCCTTGTCTCAGAAAATGGTGAGAAAATGAGCCAGAAGCTAAGGAAGGAAAAATGTAGAATTGGCTTTAATGAAGAATTTTTAATATTGGGTCTGATTTTGATATTTTCTAGTGTCATTTGGAAACTATTCTATTTAAATCAGTGGAATTACATTGGTATAAAATCAGCTTAAATTAGATCAGGTTCAATATGAGATATTAGTTGGATTAAAGTAGTAGGTGCTGGTTGAAAGTTTTCTGACAGAATATTTTTCAACTGGAAAATGCCAGTTCATTGAAAACATAATGTTTTGCAGAAATGTTTCTGTTTCGACTAAAATTTTCCTTGAAAAAATGTGTTACAGTAAGATCAAAATGTTCAGTTTTGACTTTTTTTAATTGAGTGTTTTTCCCCATTTTGAAACAACTTTTCATTTCTTTTTTTTTCTTCAAATTTTATATAATATAAAATAAAAAAAAGTCCAAATCAGAATGAAACTTTTCAATTTAATCAAACGGGAACATTCTGATTAACTCAAAATGAGATCTATCTTTCTTTCTTTTTCTTGAATAACATTTAATAGGAAATTTTGAATGTTTCTCTTTTTACTCTATTTGAAACAGAATTGTTTTTTAAAAAATCACAGGTATTATGTGAAGCAAAAGACCCGGTTTCCACCCAGCTCTAGAAGTAATAATAATGAATATTTTCAGTACATTTCATCCAGAGATCTCCAAGTACTGTATAGAGGTGGAAGAGTATTGTTATGGCAGGACTCACCTGATGGCATCGTTACATATCTTATAGGTTCTTTTTCTGAGCATGCAGACAAAGTACAGTTCTTGAAGAAATGCTGTATTTTAGGGATTTTTGTGTGATCCAGGTTCTTTTAAGGGAGCTGCGGCAAACAGCTAGATCTCCCTCACTATAGTCAATTCTTGGGGCAGAGCTGCTTCCTGGGAACTGGGCGTTGGTGTTTGGACTGAGTTACTTGAAAGAGGGCTTTGCCTGCATGTAGTTTGTGAGCACTTTGTTTAAGCACTGGTGTGTATAGTGTAAAAAAAACAAGTTACAGTAAGAACATGCCCAGAGGCCATGTCACTGATTTTTTTCTCCAATGGCAAACTGACCTGCATGGTCCTAACATCTGACATCAGTCAGCAAAGGGTTGACAATATTATTCTAGTGTTACAGATGTGGAAACTGAAA